CTGTTTGTGTTTCGTAAGCCAAAATCTTAAGCTATATATATATATATATATATATATATATATATATATATATATATATATATATATATATATATATATATATATATATATATATATTTGGATTGAAAAATTGAATACATAATATGTACCACTGGGAATAAATTTGAGCGACGAATATTAATGCAAGTCTATATAATATTATATTATTAGTGTATGTTAATTAGGATTGGGCCGAAAGTATTTAAGGACATGGATTTGAACTTATCTCGTTTCTGACGAAGGGGCTGTGCCCCGAAACGTATTTACTTTATGTATTTATTTATTTGAAATTTAATAAAATTTATATATATACATATATATCAAATTTCTTAAGGCGTTAAACATTCTCTCTTTTCATATTTCAGCGAAGCTGTATTAATTTTCATGAATTATCCTGCTTATAATTTATGAAAAAATTAAAATGTAAAGCCGGGAGCAAATTAATTTTGAATAGAAACTGTTCGTTGGAAAAAGCCGTTTAAATTAATTAGTTGAATGAAAATTTCAAAATAATTTACAATTTTTGCCAAATGCAAACTAACATACCTACAGTACAAATTTCGGAAATTGATTGTTGTATATGTTGTACCATAAGAGAATAAAATAAATATAGACCGTGTTGTCCCGATTCAATAGACGATAGAATAGCTTGCAACGTGCAATCCGAGACAACGGAGATAATGGACCACGCCCTTTTGAAAACTCAACTATAGCTTTTGATAGGCATTCATAAATAGTCTTTATACATGTGAGCGAAATTTGATTGATGTTTATTGATAAGTAAAAATAGTTTATCATATAAAATATAAAAATATTAAAAGATTGGAAATTACAAATTAAATAGAGAATAATACATGGGTGCGCGGAAATACCACATTTATTTCGAACATCTCACGAGTGAGCATCATATATTGAACATCTCATGAGTGAGCGCAGCGAACGAGTGAGATATCATGTTCAACACGAGAAGCACCAATGTATATTTCTGTTTGTTATATAAAATAACAGCCTTTGAAAAGCGATAATTGAAAAGGGAAAATTTTCACATGTAAAATTATCATATATAATCTCACATGTGAGATCGTCAGTTTTATCAGTGCTCGAAATCTCTATAAAGCACATACTTTATATAATAAAAGTTAATATAATTATTTTCTTAAACTACTAAAATAAAAATACCCTCAAGCTTTTCACCCTCGAATTTCCACCCTAGACATAAAATATTTTCAAAATACGACCGCTGACTTTTTATATATGACCCATAACTTTTTATATACATGACACTCGACTTGTTGTATATGCCCCTCTACTTTTTAAATATGACCGTCGACTTTTTACCCTCGTTAAATGTCAAATAAATTTCAGGCGATAATGTTGTAGATTGCATTTATTGTTCAGTCACGTTAACTAAGTTAAAATTTAAATTAAACCCTCCAGGTACTATTTAGTGGCGACACTGCAAGACTTTTAAATCGTTACTATTGCGTGTTAGAGGATGAACATAAAGAACAGAAAGGATTGGAAGGTATTTAGATCTTGATATATCTTAACTTCTTAAGTTCCTCAGAATTTTATTTTCTTCTGCTATCATCAATTTCAACTTTCCTGAAGTAACCACAGTAGAATGCAAATCCAAACGCAAGGATTTGTTGGTTGCCTTCATGTTGTAAACGATCATGCGAAGGCATCAAGTTAAATTTACATGCAGAGCCACCAAAGTCCAAGTTTAGACAAAAATACATTCAAGAGATACTGTTAAAGGGAGAAAAGCGATTATAGATCAGTCTGAGGAAACTGTTTTATACAATAATGAGAACATCCTAACGAGTGATCATAAAAAGTAGTATATTAAACGAGAGACAAGTTAACAAAAAAGTAATTAATTTAATAAAGTTGTGATAAAGTGAATAAAAGTTTTATTGAGAGTTGAGGAAATTTTTAACTGAGTAGCAGCTAAAATCTGAAATATACGGAATTAATTACATGCAATGTTTCAAAACATAGTAAAAAGGACTCTTAATAACATATACTACATGAAATTCTTTTTTAAATATGTGATACCATATGTTATACCATGCAAATTTTAAATATTGTTAAAACGTCTAAATGTTAAGATAATTAGTCATTATAAGCTAAAATACTTGAAGGTAAAAATGAGTTTCGAAATCTATTAGTTTTACAGTCTATTAAATTGACATGGTTATTATTACGAAGAGTATAATTGACTAAATTCTCACGTCTATCAGGAACGAGTTCGTGCGACTTGTGTTTGGAGTGAAGAATTAGTTTTGGAATACGACATTTCTTCTTTGACTAAGTGATTGAATTCCATTATGTTTCATAACTTCCCAATACGATAGAACGGGATGTATTTATGTATTATTCGTAAGGCGTGTTATTGAATTCTTTTTGAATATTTTAATTCGTTTATTGCCACCTTTAATTTATTTTCGATATTTTAAAGAAATTATCTCAGACATTCTTCAAAACAAGAAGATATCAGAGGCCATGTTGGTGCAAAAACAATCTGAAAAGTGGACAGAAGGCGACGTACACCCAACGAAAACAAATAGAAATTTATTTCTATCGCCGTCTGAAAGGTATATATTGTGTAAAATGTTGCCATCATCACAACAATGCCTTGCTCAACAACAACAACAGCAACAACAACAACAGCAACAACGACAACAACGACAACAGCAACAACAACAACAACTACAACAACAACAACAACAACAACAACAACAACAACAACAACAACAACAACAACAACAACAACAACAACAACAACAGCAGCAACAGCAGCAACAACAACAACAACAGCAACAACAACAACAGCAGCAGCAACAACAACAACAACAACAACAGCAACAACAAGAACAGCAGCAACAACAACAACAACAACAACAACAACAAGCTACAATAAACAATTCGATCAATATATTCTCACCTTTAGAGCTTTCTCTAATGCCAACTCGGTTCTGGTCCGGTCTCCTTTAACCGTATTCCAGTTTAAATTTGTCATATATTTCCCCAACTCTCTTGCGTCTTTCTTTTGTCCAATATTCAACTTCACCTCTGTCTTGTCTTTGCTGGCGAACAACATAAGCCCGATTTGTGTTCCGTCTGGGCCGACATTCAAGCTTGAAGCCGTGACGAGATTTTTTAAAAATGGTTTGACGTTAGCGTTAAAATCGCCTTCCCCAACACTATAAGATGTGTCGACAATCAGCAGGAGATCTTTCTTACATTTGGCTAAAAACAGAGAAAATATCTTGATTGTACGTGATCTCAGTTCGAAACTGTTCTTCCTAGAGTTCCAGTAAGGATCATCTCTTATTGATCCAATTGTTACTACAGGAGGAAACCTAAACTAAACTAAACTAAACTAACGTTATTTACACTGAATAGCTCTATCAGTTCGAAACTGTTCTCCCTGTTGATCCAGTAAGGGTCATGTTTTATTAATTCATTGTTACTACAGAAGGAAACCTAAACTAAACTAACTTTATTTATACTTGATAGCTCTATCAGTTCTAAACTGTTCTTCCTAGAGGTCCAGTAAGGATCATCTCTTATTGATCCAGTGTTACTACAGGAGGAAACCTAAACTAATTTTATTTATACTTGATAGCTCTATCGGTTCTAAACTGTTCTCCTTTGATGTCCAGTAAGGATCATCTCTGAATGATCCAGTGTTACTACAGGAGGAAACCTAAACTAAACTAACTCTAGTTATACTGGATGGTTCTATCAGTTCTAAACTGTTCTCTCTCTAGAGGTACACTAGGACTATATATATGGTATTTTCCTTACAATCTCCGCCTTGATTGTTAGTTGATGGACGGCCAGTATCATATTGCCAATCATCAAAATCTATATTTAACGAAAACATAAACAATTTGATTTCGAGTTGATGTGTTGTAGAAAAACAGGGACTGTTCAATAATATTCTAGAATATATATGGAATAAATTCTAATGACTCTATTCTTTCATTTAGGCTGTGGAATTTCATAATTATATCATTTATATGGAAGAAATGCTTGTACTTTCAAACTTACGTAAGTACTGAACTAAGCTAACTTAATTTATACTATATAGCTCCCTATCAGTTCTAAACTGTACTGGATAGTTCTATCAGTTCTAAACTGTTCTTCCTAGAGGTCCAGTAAGGATCATCTCTTATTGATCCAGTGTTACTGCAGGAGGAAACCTAAACTAAACTAACTTTATTTATACTGGATAGCTCTATCAGTTCTAAACTGTTCTTCCTAGAGATCCAGTAAGGATCATCTCTTATTGATCCAGTGTTACTACAGGAAGAAACCTAAACAAAACTAACTTTATTTATACTGGATAACTCTATCAATTCTAAACTGTTCCTAGTAAGTGCCATTCGTATAGCCGGCCATCCCTTTATAATGCTCCAACCATGTTTTAACTTAAATAAAAAATACACATGATAGTGTTGGGAAAGCATTATTTAAGAACAGCTAAGCAAGATCGTACGATTACCGACTCTCATATTGCGGAGGAAATGTAAAAAGCTCAAAATAATAGACGAAGATTTCTACCTTCCAACATTCCAAGCACGCCATAGACACAGAGAGTTAGGACAAAGCAGAAACGATACATCTTGAATCTTG